GGGGGGGTACAATGCTGTTTCATGCATTCAGAGTTGTTTACACTGTTAAAGAGTCGGATTCTCATGCTAAGCATGGACAAAGTTTCAAAATACAATTTGGACGTATGACGGAGTATTTCTGTGCTAAAAATCGTACTTCCGGGTTCGTACATGTTTCGGAGAGTTTTTTTCGATCGTGGCTCTTCATGACGTAAACGAGGATGGAACTCCTTATATGGGCATTTCTCCTGGAAGAACGCGCCTGCGCACACATCGACCAGAGCGAGATCGCGCCCATCAACGCACTTCATCCCGCGGCAGCGCTGCATTGGATAGAGAAATTCGTTAATTTACAAGCTTCCTTACAAAGGTAAGGCTTTCTGGCTCAGACTGCATTGGTTAAGCGTATGGGGCTGTCACGTGATGAACGAACGACTCGAAAAACCCGAAGACTCGAGAGATGAACTAATCAATTCAATTATCAAAATGAACGAATCGTTCAAGAACGACCCAACACTACAACGCGCTTCATTCAGCAGCGCTGCACGGGACTCGCTCGGGAAGAATGTCTCCAAAGAAGTGTGTTTTTGGTTGTAAGGGAAAGATAACTTTGTTCAGCTTCATAAAGAACCCAGCGTTATGTAAACAGTGGATGCAGTTTGTTTTTCCGGAGCAGCAATGCAGTTTCACAAGTGTGTTTGTTGACGAACGTTTTATAAACAAGGCCCAGTTGGACGCTGGATTAGCACATGGTTTGATACTGAAAGAAGGAGCGGTGCCAGCTATAAAAGATCCCGGTCCTGATTCAGAATTTTTGTGAGTAGCTTATGTGGTACACTACAATTTAAAAGTTGTGCTGCAAGTTTTTCTTTTTTTAAATAAATAAATTAATACTATGTTCAACAAATCAATTAACCAAAAGTGACAGTAAAGACATGTATAATTCTCAAATAGTTCTGTTCCAAATAAATGATGTTCATTTGAACTTTCTATTCATCAAAGTATTTTGAAAAACACGTATCATCGTTTCTTGAGCAGCAAATCAGCACATTACAATGATTTCAGAAGGATCTATTGTGATCGGTTCATAATTAGCCTAATTTGTAAAGGCTATATCAAAAACAGTACAAAATAAGTTATATACAGTAAAATACAGTGTAATTCAACTGGCAAATAAAAGTATATAAATTATATATTATAATTTTATTATATATTAATTATTGCAAATAAAGTATAATTACAATCAAAATAAACAGAAACATAAAGAAATCAAACATATCAAAGCATAAGGTGTAAAAATGACTAAATCTTTCCAAGTGTTTGCTGTCCAGATCAGATGAAAAGCTGCCCTTACGAAAAATAACCATGATTTTACTACAAAAAAATAATAAAAAAACTATGGTTACTATAGTTAAACCATGGTAATCACAAATTAACCATGGTTTTGCTAGACTAACCATAGTTTAACCACGGTATTTGTAGTAAAACTGTGGTTTTATACAAATGGTTATCAATACGCCACAAAACCATGGTCACTACACTTTTACTACAATAAACCACCATGGTTAATATTCATAAGGGTTCAGATCTCAGCGTGATTTTGGTGGTGTTGTTATTATTTCGTTCCTGACGTACAAATGCAAACCCGCCCAACAGACTCAGTATAAAAGGATTTAGAGATCATCAGTCATCAGTGTTCATCCGCTCGAGCGCTGAGAGAAGCAACAGATAACACGTGACCTCGCCGTGAGCCACGTTTAGAAGTTCGTTTTTACCTGAACAACAACGCAGAGAAAGCTCTAACAGACATTTCACCGAAATAAGCAGTGTATCTGCAAACAACAGGGCACCTAGCGCCGCCGCTACAGCCTCCAGCTTGTGTCTCAGACTGAGCCGCGTTGGGAACGCTTTGTGAACTGAACGCCGAGCTGCGTTCAGACATGCGCAGAGAGGAATGACACTGCGGAACGGGCGTGGTTTGAATCTCATCTAAAAATCCCGTACAATAACAACAGCCAAACCGTTCCAATACCAGCAACAGACGTAGATTACAATAAGCGCTTTACGATAAACAGTACGTTACTGCGCGAGTGACAGCGGCGGACCGAGCATGTCTGCACACGGTACAAGTGCATCTCTTTATAACTCGCATTAAACGCTTCACATGATATTGGCTCAAAAATAATACATCAACTTATGTGTTTTTGGTTATGTCTTTATAATGTTTTCCTCGCCAGACGTAGATTACAATAAGCGCTTTACGATAAACAGTACGTTACTGCGCGAGTGACAGCGGCGGACCGAGCATGTCTGCACACGGTACAAGTGCATCTCTTTATAACTCGCATTAAACGCTTCACATGATATTGGCTCAAAATAATACATCAACTTATGTGTTTTTGGTTATGTCTTTATAATGTTTTCCTCGCTTTTTCAAAGAGAAGTATCTTTATACTCGCTGTGCGTTTATTCATCACACCGTTCATCGATCAGGAGAGAACGGACGGAAGAGGGAACTAGTGTCAGCTGTTTTGACGGAACGCTTTGCATTGTCTGTCAGACACCGAATACATCTTACACATGACATTTACATGGTACTAAAAGAGACTTAAACTATCACGTACACGTCTAAAATCAGGTCTGTTGTATTAACCATGATAGTAACGTTAACGTTATCAGATGCTGGTTATTTTTTAATACTATGAAACTAAATGTTTACCATGTTAATACCATGGTACATGGTAATTAGTATTGCATGGTGTTACTCCAATGTACTTCAAAAATAACAGTACTAAACTTACTGTATTTAAGTACCGTGGTACTAAAAGGTACTGAAAATAATAACAAGATACTGCCATGGTGCATGTCCAGACGCCTTTTTTTATTATTATCATTATTATTTGAGCTAATATTGCCTCAACACCATTTGGGTACTTCATTCATCACAGGATTGTACAACAGGTTAAGTCACTATAAATACACAATTTACACTACACTAGGAATAGAAAGTTCAAAATAGCTGAATTTATTTGAAATCTTTTGTAACATTGTCTATACTGTCACTTTTTGATCAATTTAGTGTCCTTGCTGAATGAAAGTATCTATCTATCTAGATAGATGGATGGATGGATGGATATACCTCGATAGCTCAGTTTGTGTGTAATTATCAAAATTAAACTGTAACTACAGCGCTGGCACAGTAAACTAATCCACACATACCCGTGGTTTCTGCCTCCAGTGAACAGGGACAGAAGTGTTTTGTGCGGTTTGAAGGCTGAGGCAGAAGAGGACAGCATAGAGAGCATGGACAATGACAGCACGCCGCTGATGAGATCCAGAGGCCCCAGTCCCCTCGTTTCGATTATCCGGGAGTGACCCGCTGCCAAGATGGCGACGGCCAGCTCCGCCCACTTTGAGCTTCAAAACTGCTCTTCAGAAACCTATGGGTGACGTCACGGACACTACGTCCATGTTTTTATACATGTTTTAATATAAGCTGTTTTTAGGCTAACTAGAAAGTTTTGATTCCTGAAATTTACAGGATGTTTTTATAGCACAATGACCTTTGAAGGGATGAAGGGAATTTTGGATTCTCAGTTCGTGACCCCTTTAAATAAACTTGTGGTAGTGACTACTGATAATCAATTGAATTGAATATTTTATAATTAATAATTAATATTAATAATAATAAATATAAAATTAATATTTGAATATCTAATTTTCTATATGGAATTTAATGGATGCAAACCAAAAGATTATTCATAGCATTATTATTATTATTATATAGTTTGATTTTCATTAATATATGACCACATTAGTTGAATACTAGTGTTTTTTTTCTCTCAGCTTTAGTTATTTAACTAAAACTATTTAAAAAAGTTAAATAAAATAAAATAAACTTTAACTGAAATTAAATTTATTTCAGCTAGTTGCCAAGGCGACATTTCTCATTTTCATTTAGTTTAGCATGAAGTTCTTAACTATAATCCTGCACCTAAGAAATAAAAAATGCAGTTTTTACCATAATTTAACTTTCTCCTTCACTTTCTTCCTCTCATTTTAGAGGATGTACTTGTCATCCAGCTACAGAGACAGCTGCCAGGCCAAGTCTGAAACCTTGATCGGTTCTGAAGCATCTATGCCCCACCTCGTTCATATTTCCTCTACGTCTCCCCTTCCGTCTGTGGAGAGCAGGAAACCTCCTACACTCTCCCCCGGCCCAGAGGTGCCCAGCCCTCCTCGACTTGTTATCCAGAGCCAGTCCCACATCTCGGTCAAGACCTCTGCGCCAACACACACAACACAAGAAGCTTTCAGCAGGAATAAAATGAGTCTAATGCAGCATCTTGAGCGGGTGAAGAGACCAGCTGAAATAAGCTCAGAGATCAGTGACCGTGCTTCAACTGCAGATCTGACGAATACGAGTAAGAGAGTCTTGTTCCTTTAAAACAAGAGAAATTTACTTAGTTGGGAAGAATAACATCCTGCACTTGCTTTCAGAGAGTATAGTTAAGTATAAAGCAATAGTTCACACAAAAATGAAACGGATAGTAGCGGATTACCCAAAATGAAAATTAGCTGAAAATGTACTCACCCTAAGGCCATTTAAGATGTAGATGAGTTTGTTTCTTCATCAGATTTGGAGAAATGTAGCATTGCATCACTTGTTCAGCAATGGATGCTCTGCAGTTGAATGGGTGCCGTCAGAATGAGAGTCCAAACAGTGGTGTGGATTACTTGTGATGTTTTTATCAGCTGTTTGGACTGTCATTCTGACGGCACCCATTCACTGCAGAGCATCCATTGCTGAGCAAGTGATGCAATGCTACATTTCTCCAAATCTGATGAAGAAACAAACTCATCTACATCTTGGATGGCCTGAGGGTGAGCGCATTTTCAGCTAATTTTCATTTTGGGTAATCCGTTACTATACGGCTAAAACTCACTAAATTGCTATTGAATGATTTTATTTCAGAACAATGATCCATGCAGCAATCATTTATTGCTAAATTTCCCCAAATATGTTCCAATGAATAAACAAACTCATGTGCATCTGCCTGAGGGTGAGCACATTTTCAGCTAATTTTCATTTTGGGTAATCCGTTACTATAAGGCTAAAACTCACTAAATTGCTATTGAATGATTTTATTCCAGAACAATGATCCATGCAGCAATCATTTATATTAATGCTGCCATTTGTGTCTGTTTCTGCTCCTGTAGGTTGTCTGGGCGGCTCTGACAGGAAGGTGTTCCTCTCGAACTGTATCCTACAGAGGGCTGGGAAAATGGCACGACCCAGTGCGGCGGTGCGGTACCTGTCGAGAAACATCTTCACAGCGGAGGAACTCTCTCAAAGCAACACCACTGGAAACACAAAGAGACGCCTAAAGAGACTCGACCCAAACAAGATCGGTGCCATCAGAGGTGAGCTGGACGGATATTTGAGAACTGGATCCTTCTCTGTATGATGTGCCTTTTCTGTTGTTTTTACACATTTAAACAATTTGATTTCAATTTAAAAAGCAGAACTGACTTTTCTCAGAACTGACTTTTCGATAAGCCGTTTAATCAACACTGTGCCAGTGATTTTATTATTTTCAAAGGCTATCATTTTAATTAAGACTATAAATGACTTGCTCAGCTTTCTATATTAATATCTGATGCGGTTTACAGAGCAGCATGAAAGTTGCTAGTTTTAACAATGTGTGGATCTCCACAGAGTGGGTGGTAAAGAGATACCCAAAATTTGACCTTCATGAGAAAAGCAAGGACTGGAAAATGTGTCTGTCTGTAATCAACTCGACGGCCCGCTACTATCGGTTCATGGACAAGACACGGAAGGTGAGAATAAAAGGAACACTTTTGTAACTTTAGCAAAAACTGGTTCATCACAACATCCACACTCTCCTAACAGTGCACAACACTAAACTACACTGTACAACAACTTAAAACCACTCAGATAATTTTTCTTTCTTTTTTTTTTTGTTGTTCACGAAATGTAAAATGACATAATACTTTGATTTTTTTGTTTTTTCAAATTAAAACCATTTGACAAGTTTTATCTGCAGCACTTCCACTACATTGGCAAAAATGTGGTTATTTCCACCTCTTTCCCCCAAATGCATGGATGCCATTGACAGTTGTCTCCGCTTATGTTTAACTATTATTATGATTATTTTGCTTTTCTGCCTGTTTCAAGCAAAAGTGTTCTCTACAAAGCAAGTTTGCATTGATCATGTCTGTATTGGAGTACCTGACGTGGTAGTGACAGCAGTGTGTGATATGCTATTATTCATCCTGTTTTGGGATTTTTGCTCATTTTGTTCATTCATTTACATGACAACTACACATTTTATTCTAAAAAAATGTTAAAAAGCATGTTATTTGTCAAATACCATAAATCATACAAGATTCTTCTTGGAACAGTATTTGTCTAGGATGCATGGGAGGTGAGTAAAACGCAGCCTAATTTTCATTTTGGGGCGAACTAACCCTTTAAGATACATTTCCTTTACAGCTAAAGGTACAGGAAAGAGCAAACCTTGAGAACAGGACAGAGTCAGCACCTACAGCGGTTACGTGTGCAGCAGCGGCAGAGATTGATGTTGAACTGTCTGACAGCGACACGGAGCAGAAACAGCAGGAAGCTCTGATGAGCCACAGCACAGAAGATCACAACATGCCCACAGACTGGGAGTCAACCAACGGTCAGTGCCGACTGAAACATCACATCTGTGAATGAAACGTACTTCCCATTATAGGGCTGGGCTTGGAGGTCAAGAGGTCACAAATTTGAATCTTGCTTGATTGACACCTTTTTAAAAAAAAACTGCAGGTTTGTCAAAAGACATGTTACGATGGCATTAATGAGAGTGTCTTTAGGAAATGGATAAATAAAGCACCACTGAAATTGAAATCATGAATGTCAATTTTATGAAAACCGCTATCTCCCCACACTAAAAGAAGGGTAGACGCACAGCATATATGTGACCCTGGAGCACAAAAGCAGTCTTAAGTCGCTGGGGTATATTTGTAGCAATAGCCAACAATACATTGTTTGGGTCAAAATTATCCATTTTTCTTTTATGCCAAAATCATTAGGATATTAAGTAAAGATCATGTTCCATGAAGATATTTTGTACATTTCCTACTGTAAATATATCAAAACTTAATTTTTGATTAGTAATATGCATTGCTAAGAACTTCATTTGGACAACTTTAAAGGCGATTTTCTCAGTATTTTGATTTTTTTTGCACCCTCAGATTCCAGATTTTCAAATAGTTGTATCTCGGCCAAATATTGTCCTATCCTAACAAACCATACATCAATGGAAAGCTTATTTATTCAGCTTTGAGACGATGTATAAATCATCAATTTGAAAAAAAATGACCCTTATGACCGGTTTTGTGGTAAATGTGCCACCATTTAAACGCAGCTTGTGAAAATAGTGATACTTTGATATCGACAAAATAATTGCAAATATTTTATAATTGCAAGAAATAATTGCAAAATATTCAATATCGTCCAGCCCTACTTCTTTGGATCTGTCCTGAAACTGTATTTACAGGGGTTAAAGCAAAATAAAATCCTGAGCCTGAACTTTTTTCCTAGGGTTGACCTACATGGTCAATACATGGTTGACCTGAAGAATGAAAGCTATATCATACACTTGGAAAATTACAAGCTATATCACCGCTTATCGACACTAGAGGTATGACAATACAGAGAGATGAGACAAAATACAGATACTTGGTTCACTAGAACGAGACAATATTTTAATACTATTTTTAAGAAATTTACAATGACAAAATATTTGTCTTCTAATTACAAAAAGTAAAACAATGCAGATGTATTTTGACTATTTTGACCCTAGATTATTAAACTAATCTAGGGCTGTAACTAATGATTATTTTGGTAATCAAGTAATCTACTGATTATTTTGACAATTAAGTAATCTGATATTTTTTAGTAACACAAACAGACCTAAGTGAAAACCAGGCTTTAGTATGACTATTTATATATAAACTAACGATGAGGCAATAATAATTGGCTCAAATAAAATATCAAAAACAATTACATGGTTTTATTGAACCACACTGTTAAAATACATAATGTAATATGCCTATACATAATATGAACATGACCAACTTAAGTACATTATGTATTAAAACAAACCTGCAGAGGGCGCCAATGGCCTGGTGACGTTTCACTTTACAGCTTGATTAAACGAGGTTTAAATCCATAAAATTTTAATATTTGGCCACATGCAAACTCAGAAACTTTTATTTTGAAATCGTGATGTACAATAAATGGCATATTTAGAAATATGTTGATGTATTCTCCTGTATTGGCAAAGGTTTATAAATGATTTATGTTACAAATCTAGTGAGATAATGCATACTTTTCCCAGATGAACGTTAAGCAATTCAAATTCACAGCAAACGCAGAGGAAGAGTGACGTCACACATACAGTCTTCACCGGTAAATTACTATTAAGAGATTCATGTGTGAACAGGACCTTTTCAAAAATCCCGGTAAATTTGTTCTGGCAATCATATCGTTCTTATGGAGATGACGTGATTACTCTGAGCCGTTTACAAAGCTCCGCTGCTTTTTAATTCGTTTTTCTATGTAAATAGGCCTATGCGCTATATGGACATCTGTGACCATTGTTAGTTTGGTTGAGAGTGAAAGCTGTGCTCCTCTCACACCATTGGTAGGCGAACTCATGGACTCGAAAGTGATATCAAGTTTTTTTTTGTTTTTTTTTAAATGTAGGATTATTTTTTCCCGCAGCCAAACGCTGCACGCCGGAGATCCGGCACGGTGCCAGAGAACTTTAAGCTCTGTATTTATTGTGCCCAGATATTACACTCTTATTCTTATTTTCCTCTGTTTTCCAGTGTATCTCGGCCCCCCTCATCGGGATGTGAAGGTTCCTGAGTTTGCCTTGTCTGCAGCACATCTCCGAACACGTCCCGAGCTCATCGCTCGATACCTGATCAAGTTCATCTTCCCAGAGGATGTGCTGGTGCGCAGTAACGTGTACGGCGGGGTGCGGCGCGGCATTCAGGCCCTCGACCACAACAAGATCTCCGCGCTCCGAGGTGAGATATCTGCTTAGCGGCACTGTAGTCAGCTACTTTGGATGGTGGAAAAGAGGTAGCTTTGAATAAGGACTAGTTCTCTGTTCCTGCTCTTCTTCAGAGCACCTGCTGGAGCGTTTCCCCTGGATGAGGCTGGAGGAAGACGGAAGTGACTGGAAGGTTTGCGTAGGCGCTATAAACAGCACCATCCGCAAGTTTCGATATGAGCGCAAGATGGGCATCAAGAGAGGGATACGCTAGTGCCGAGGATCCGATCAAAACGGCTCTGTGATACGGAGGTGAAACCTTTGTTTGTACACAGTGACTGTTTGTGTCAAGAAATGCTGTCAGTAGCTGTTACTGGTTGTTTTTCTAGAATGTGTTACTAGTATTTAATTTGTGATTTATACTGGTTCTTATTACTTTGATATTTATAATTTTCAACAGGAAATCTGAAAAAGACTTTATTTGGCAATATAAAATGTACATTAATATATAGATGTTTAAACAACAACAAAAAAAACGGTTAATATATGGATTTATTAAGAATAAAGGAATTGTTAATATATTACACATCCAAAACCTTTCTCTCCATTGAAACTTAGCAGCTATAGAAGAGAGAACAAAAGACAGCTGTTGTCAAAACAGGGACTTGCACTTCAGTTATGAACACTGTATCAGTTCAGACGATTGATTGAAGTGAATAAAACTGGTTACGTTGTTGCACATTGAGTATGAGTGTCAGATCCTCAAGAGTATGAAAAATTATTTCTTGTGTAACCGACCTGAAATAAAGCACAGTAGCACTGTTTAATCAAAGTGTTTATGGCCCTTAAAACTATTGAATGAAGAAAAAAAAACATTTTGAAGGTAAAATAAGTGCTATCAGAGAACTAGCAGGCCTTATGGAGAAACGCACCTCTATTGGCAGATTGATGTTTTGTCTGCTTGTTTCTTGAGGTCTTTGGTGATGTTGTTTATCACTCCAAGACACTGTGCCCACGACACGCCCCTCACGCCGACGTCAAACTGTGGGTACATCTCAGCAAGAAACTCTGAGCGTACATACAGGAATAAAAAAAAATACTATTTGTAAACTATAAATACTTTTATGCCATTTAGTAAGGGTAATGGCACACAAATCAAATCTGGGACTAAACTGGGCTGAAAAACCCCGATTTTCAAATTCTCTCTTAAACGTTTATGCCTCAGTGCATAAAAAATAATTAAAGCCTTTTCGGAGCAATGACTGAACACTTTTTTTTTTTGTGCACAACTAGGGCTGGGCGATATAGTTAAAATGCATCAACGATATAATGTTTCATATCGTTCGGTATCAATAATTATTGAAATTTTTATAACCTTCTTTAAAACAAAGAGCAATAGAAAAAAAAATGTTTACATGTAACCACTGTATTTTTTAATTAACTCAACTTATTGAGACAAACAACAAATATTTTTTTAGTTTTAACAGTCAAACAAAATAAAAATTAAGCAAATATCTAATTTCTAATGTTTTATATGCAGATTAAATAGGTTAAACTTTTGTCTTGTCTCCCGAGGCCACATGAGGGCGCAATGAGCAAAATAATGCAGCACATTAAATTGTCAACGCAAGGAAGTAACTGTCTATAAAAAAAAACGTGCATTACGTCTAAAT